ACACTTCATTAAGATACTTTGCTCACAGGAATGTGCAGTCTAAAATATGTGGTAGAGAGGTACAGTAACACTACGTACACTAAGCCACTGAACAGAAATTGTTTGAAGTTGTTTCTGCTTCTTCAGTCAGATAGGTCAGTTTGATCTGATGAAGTTTGAGATATATGATATTCATCTAGAAAGCTACAGTTTTGACAACAAAAGCAGTGTCTAGTTCATAATGTTATAAAGCAAAAAACAAACCGCATCTGAAATCAACCTCTAAGTTTCACAGAACAATTTTTAAAAAATAATCCTATCTTTATAATTTGAAAATAAAGGATTATTTAATAAAACAAGTAACTGAAAGACATACATTATTTCTATTAAAGTGCTAATATACCAAAAACTGTAGCTGTGAACTATACCACACCCTCCCATGCCAAGCTACCTCTCTGCACAAACGATTTGGTATTTGTTGATTCACAGGCACAACCAAGACATTCTCACAACCCTTTCGAAGCTACTTCTTTGTATCCTTCCACTCCTTCGAGATGCAGATCTGGAGATAATGAAATTGGATGTGCCTGCCTCTGAATGCCTTGTTACAGGATTTTCCCAAGAGAAAGGAGTCCTTTGAAGGCAGAATTTTTCTTGAGTCAGACATTACTTATTAAGTACATTAATTAGCTCTGCTATACCTTTTATCAATTTAACTTATTCAAAACCCACTTCCACACACAATCTACACCATACTTGGGTTACTCATTTTCATTCCTCCTACTCTAAAGAAAAACAAGTCTCTTTCCACCCCAACTTCCGAAAATCCAAACCAACTTTGCATCATTTGATTCCACATCCAATCCATTATCCCATCTCTTCCACAAGATAGGATTGGAGTGGTACCTAAGACTCCCCAGTATTCCTTCTCCACAGTTCTCCTCATCAAGTCTTCCATGACAAATTCCTTCTCTCAGCAAAAAGCCTCTAAGGTGGCTTGTACCTTCTCTGATTGGCTACCACAAACAGAAGGCAAGCCTGACAACCAGATCCACCCCAAAGAAATGGCACAAGTACACATCAAATCCTTCCTTGAGAGCCATACTGATGGAATCTTGTGCTCTCCTGCTGCCAAGGTACATCCTGAGGAGCCCAGCGCACTTCCACACACAGGAGGTGTGCATGAGCCCATCTCCATAGCCAGGGCACACAGGAAGCTACCATAAAAGTGATCTGTGTCAATTTTTCTAAGTTGTTCTGAGACCAAGGAATGGTAAGGGATAAGGGAGGGGGATGTACCCACATTCAAGGTGGTTGAAGTGCTTATGGAATCAAAGGATTACCAAAAAACGCTTAAGAAGAAGCGCTTAAAGGAATAAATGGAGAGTTCCATTTCAGGACATGAAATCAGTGCCAGTCCCACACCAATGCCACCATCTCACCTCTCCCACGGCCACGCTTCCCACGGTCTGAAGGCCTGTCTGCTTGATTGTTGTCCACTCCATTCTCTTCAGCTCTAACTGCGGAGAGAGGACAGCTTAAGAGAAGCTTTAGAGACTTTTACATGAGGCAATACAGCCATCTGCTTAACCTGAACCCCAAAAGAAAAGGCCAGATTTTCAAGTGGGTTGGTCAACACATCTCAGTCATCCCTCTTCTCTGGGGGCCTAGCTAGAACCAAGCTATGTTTACTTTGTACAGGACAATTAGGAAGCAAAATATCTAATAAGAAGGAAATGTCCCTCAGTAGATACAAGTCTACAAGTGCCATGTTTTGCAGCCTACATTATTTAACTAATTACAGCCTCAACTCTTTAATGAGGTAGGAAATACAGCTGCCTCATCTTATGTTTCCTTGATAATACACTGGTTGACAACAGTGAAAGAATAAGGGATAACCAATAACACCAACTCTTCTACTGTCTGCCCATTACACATCCCTGTACAAACGGGGAAACAAAAAATTTCTCCTCTATGTTTAAAGCAGAGGGTTGACGACTGGGTGATGGTAAGGAATTAGAAAAGCACTGGAACTTCACTATTTTGTGGAAAACTCCTGACATGGTACTCTGAAATATGGGTGGCTCCCTGAAGAGGAAAAAAAAAAAAAAAAAAAAGACTGGCCTCTTAAAACACTGATGAGATTTTGTACTAGACAACTTCTAATGGCAAAAATAAAATTGTTAATGCTTGGATGTAAAGCTGGGAAGAAAATATCAAGATTTGGTAACCATCTGAAATATTTTTAATTCCAGTTTACAAGAAGAGACAAGCAGCACCTGTCTCGGGTAAAAAATTTGCCCCTTGCTTTCACTTTGATGGATCTGATTTCAACTTTTCTAAGCATAACTGCAAATTTTATTAATATTTTTTCATCTTGACATTATTCTATCCTACAAAGACTCACAATGTCTACACTGGCACAATATTTGACTATATTTCAATTATGAATTAGATTAGTTGGTTAATATTGTAAGTATTTTTCCTGCTTTTAAGTGGAAAACTAAACATTGTATTCATTCTGTTTCCTTTCGTCATCTATCAGTGTGGTGTACAGCCCTTACAGGCAAGGTACACAATTCTGATAATGCTGATAAAACTTAGATAAAAAGCAATCCAATGGTGTATCCAATGGTGATCTAATGTGATTCCAACTTGGAAACATCAGTTTGCTTTTCTACAATGTATTACTGCAACTGTTGCAAAGTTTTAAATGTTTTAACTAACAATGAATTTTCTCTGTTGTAGAAACTCACCTTTCGTTGGTTTATGTGAGAAATACATGCTAGAGATTAATAATCATCCCAGTGTTTTCATTCCCCTTATGAGAAGATGAGAACATCTTCAGGTTCTCCCACTCATAAAAGGAGATGGAGTCAAAGCTGGATAATTATTTCATTAAAAGAAACAAAAAAGTGTATCAGCTGTGCAGCGACATACTTGCTCTCAAGCAGTCTTACAAAGAGTCAGTTCTAAAACTTACATGAAGAACAACAATTTTTACAAGATCAATTCACCAAACAAGAACAGAGACTTAAATTAAGCTGAGTGTCTCCGAACAAGTACAGACCATCCCAAAACCAAGTCACACAGACAGGTCAAGCATACCTGTGGCACAAACAAGTTATGATCCCTTCAACGCTGAGCTACAGTCAGATGGACTTTGCTCCAGTAAGCACTTGCTCTTAACTTAGCGAGTTCCAGCTGCAAGAAAAGTGTCTAAATCTTTAAAAATGAATCCCTGTACGTACACTCTCGGCCACGGCTGCCTCCTCTTCCCCGTCTGTTGGAACTTCCCCGTCCGCGACTCACTTCTCTGTCCCCTCGTTTCTCTCTGTTCTCTTTGTTTTCTGAAGATTCCTTTCCAAGGCTTTTCTTCTTTCCCCCTACAGTCTCCCAAGAGGTCTATTTGGGTAAAATAGAATTAGACACAACAGTCAAAACAGAAGACAGCTCTCAATGTACATTTCACCTCATACCCCTCTAGTTCATGGGGGAAAAATCCCCAGGTATTTGCATAATATCACATAAGTGGTAGCACAGGTTGTATTTTTGCAAATAGATGAGAAAGAAACATGTTTTTTAAGTTAGATTGTCTAAGAGAATATGAGGATCCCAAGTATTTCTGACCATAGCAGATTTCTTCTAGTTCAAGAAAGCCTGGATATGACCACAGCGCAGAACATCTGCAAGGCAAGTAAGTTTCCCTCTCAACTACATCCACAAATCTAGCAAGGGAGCATGAACAGCGCAATTTTTTTCTCCCAAGGAAATGAAAAAAAAAACCTTTTAAGTATCACTGAGCAAAAGAGTGATGAGAATAAGTATGTGGCCTAAGGAGTGCAAAAAAAAACCCACAAAAAAGAAAACAGGAAAAAAAAAACTATTATCCAGACATACTAGAGTTTAAGCTCCAGAAGAAAGAATGACAGAACAACAGCTTGGGAAAACTGGGGGCATAGTAAGCCAGACCATCCACTCTTAACAGGTATAGATCATCACACACAGCAAAATACAGGAAAAACTATGTCTAAACAAAACAAGAGATCAAAGTCCAAACATAAGGCTTCTGTTTTAATATTAAAATCCATCTTTAAAATAAATTCAAGGATAGTACTGAATCCATAGGAGTATCTGCAGGAGTTGCAAATAAAATGACTGAAACACTTGCCAAGAATAGCACAGCCACTCATATATTATGCAATTGCACAGTTAGTTAATTGAGCCACAGCTGCAAAGCAAGGAAGAAGAAAGGTATTATTTCCAAACCATTAAACCATTAAGATAGGTTTGCATGTATGCTCCCATCTCTAGGAGCTTACAGTCCAGGTAAGGTATTTAAGCAGAATATTTGCATATGCAAATTGTAGCGAAGCACTAAAGGCATGACCTCTGACAGACACCTACACCAAACAAAAGAGGTTGTCTATCGGTAATCTTAGGTCCTGTCTTATCTCCTCTCAATTCCACCAACAGCACCTCAGCGGGCCATGACCAGCTAGTCCAAGCTGCCTAGAACTGAGGAAACCAACACTGTGGAAAGGCAGCAAAGCAGTTTACAAGTACAAACTCAAATGTTGCAGAGTCTCCTTTCAGAGAATAAGAACAAAGTGAATGGTTACTCTCTCGGGTTGAAATCCCTTTTCAGTTTCATCTCCAGTGCAGGAGACTGCACCACCATGAACTGACCTGGGTAAGCTCAGCCAGCAACAATCAGAAGTACAAAACTACACGTTTGAGCAACACCACTTTATTTGTGAGCCAGAAAACTCTTTCCCTCAGTAACTTTATCACATGGCTTCTCCTGATAGAGCCTGCATAACTGCACTAAAACACTCCTATAGCTTTAGATAGAAAAATACCTGAACTGACAACTGAAGAGCCTAGTTTATACAGTTCAGAACATGCTCCTATTTCACTGATGGGCACGATGACAAAACATCTTTGACCATTTCATGAAACATCCAAAACTGGATAAGGCTGTAAAGCTGAAGAGGAAGCTTTTATTTGACTTGGGAATGATCAGTAAAAGGATGACTATGAAAGCTTAAGATCCACGCTTTCCCACAAGACAATTCTGAGGAAAGCCTTGAGAAGTTGGGCAGGTCTTTTAATATAGAGGATGGTGCTACCTCTGGGCATGGGGATCCATCACAGACTACTGAAGCTGTCTCTTTTTGTAAGGGAGGTAAGTGATTGGAATTTCAGCTGACAATGCCTGAGGCAACCCAAATGACAGTTGTGGGCCTCACCTTTGAAAATATGTAACAGAAGTCTTCTTCTTGGCCTATTCTTACATGGAAAGAATAATAATATGAAAGGTCCCCTTTGTTCTATCTTCAAAGGTTTACTAAGTAAAACATGGTTGGGCATAAAGTGTATCTTAGGTCTGTAGGAAGTTAAATGAATACAAGTGTTGGACAAAGACACATATTCTTCCCTACTCTCATCCACAAGCCTCTATCTATCCAAAGCCAGACTGTCACAATTGCTGCAAATGAAAAGTATTCATAAAAACTAAATCACAGAGCATAAAGCCTTGAAGATCACAGCATTAAACACAAAACAAATTAATAAAGACAAAGACAAAACTGGCTGAGTACCAAATAAACTATAAAAAGACATTCTAGCTATCACTCCTGGCTCTTCTAATTCCTCCAATTGAACAGACACATCTTTCAAATGACGTTTTAAAGAAATTTCAAGTGCATCAAAGAAGAATGAAACTAGGAAAAGAGATTTGGGAATCTGCATTCAGAATTAGTGGTACATTGGCTTTCAACTTTACATCAAATCCATGATTAAACTGTTCTTGAGTATAATAGCCTTAAAACAAGCCCTTCCATTTGAAGGCCCAAAAATTTCCACAAAGAATAAATTTCCTCACGCTCCTTCCTCCTTGAGCCCTTTAAGTTCTCTGTATTTGTTTCTAAGTTGCATTTTCTCTACAGAGAGCAGTGGGTTCAGAGGGACTTATCAAAAGAGCAGAATATATTGATATCAATTCTAGTTGATGGATGAGTTCAGAAAGTTTTTTCCATGTCATGATCACTTCCAACAATTTGCTGAAGTAAGAAAGCATTTAACATTCTCCATCAACCAGAAAACTACTTTCAACTAAAAAATAGCAAATATGAGAAGTACAAGAGAGTGCAAAACTGGCACACTACTCAGATAGGTTTCATCAAGGCGAAACGTTCTCTTCCACTCCCAACTTGCCAGCTAGCTCACAATCATACACTTCTGTATTTTAGAAGACCTCAACTCCGATAAAAAGTGAAAAGGGGATAGAAAATCAAGTCCCCTCAGTCAGAACGGTGTGTGTCCTAGATTTAGGGTGTGTGAGGGGCCAGTTTCCTCATTAACAATAAGCCAGAGTACACATCCTGACAAGTCACAGGAAATACTGAGTGTTCAGCATCAAGAAAGGAAGTCCAGGTTTCTTTCCCAATTTAGATGAGATGGAATCTAATTTAATGCCTTGGACCAACTGTAAGAAATCCCTCCAGCAAAAAGTTCAGCTGCAGTGAAATATATTTTCTTAGTATTTCTTGGGATAAAATGTTGCTCTGTGTCACATTCTAAGTGACATTTGTTGTTATATACACACTGTTTAGTCTCCTCTTTCTGTTTTTCAATTAAGTCATGCAAATGAGCAACACAGTGAAAGGACCAACTACTTGCTGCATCCTCTCCTGCCATAAGTAGCATTTATCAATGCAACTTCCAGATGTGGAAACCTCCCCCAGTTTTAATACCAGCAGTGCTCACCTACAGCACAACTTAAAATATCTGCCTGCCCTTTAGGTTTATAAAGATTGACCTTTGTGACAAATAGTCTCAGGCTCACGGTTGTGGAGAGTCTACACAGTAACTACAAAAACCGCAGCAAGAAACAGGGCTGTGTCTGAGGGAGCACTGAGTTCTGCTGCAGAGCTAAAACTGCTGCATGTAAATGAAAGCAGAGGACTCTGCAAGAGACCAGCTGAACACCTACAACATTTTCCACATTCAGCCTACTCCAAGGTATGCATGCAGTAGAGAAACTGCCCTGGTCTTCATTTCCTTCGAAAGAATTCTAATGGAGAGATGGAAATTGAAAGCTTCCGAAATATGACTTTCCCAATCCCATGCAGAAGTCAAAAAATGCAGGAAACAGAAGGAGAAGTTTAACATGGAAGTAAAACCTTACCGTGTCTGAACTTCCTTCCAGCAGTATGTTGATTGCTCTGTTCACATCCCCATTACAATCATGTAGTGCCACTATACACTCATCCTGGTTTTTCCCCGTGACTTCCATAAGCTGGTAGTAAAAGTCAGACATGTTAAAATATCTACATTATCATCATAAGAAAATAAGAGTTAGTACCACCACAGACTATAAGAAAGTGCATAACTATCATGTCAGGGTAAACTAGAATCCTGAATAAAGGAATCTGCATTTTACAGATCTGCTTGGGTTTCAGACAAGAGACAGCAGGAAGCACAAATTAATTGATAATCAAGGAAGCACTCTTTCACATCTTTTTTTTTTTTATTTCTGTATGCTTGCAGCAAATGCTGTCAACACAGATACAGCAGTATACGAGGTTAAAGATGTAAAGGACCAGCATAGTTCCAGTATCATCCTCTCTCTCCCCACCAAGTATGTCCCTCTTTATCCCACTGTGAGAACAGACATAAGGTAAGACATGGCAGAGAACAGATCCATCTGGAAAAACACTCAGACTAAGAAATAGGTTATTTTTTTAGCCAGATTGGCTCCCTTGATCCATTTCAGCATAAGGCCACACGAGTCATAAGTGATGGCTGGTTAAGGAAACCTAGTTCTGAATTATGCTCCATGGACTTGGGATACACATCCTGAGGAGTGTGGGACATAAATTAACAGTCTGTCACAGGGCATCCAGCAACTTTGTCCAATGAACAAAACCTACATGAGCTAGAAATACATATGCAGAATGTAAAATACTGGAGATTTCCTACACAGAACTTAATTCTTCTCCTTCCCTCCAACACAGCTACAAGCACTACTGAGACTTGTAGTGGCTTCAGAAAGTACAAGACTACACTTTTGGCACAGCAACAGAACAAGTTTATAACAAGAACAACAAAAAGCACTTAATAATGCTTCAGAGAAAGTTTTACAAAGGAAAAGAAATCAAGAAATCCGCTCCTCTGCTGCATTAACACATTCAAGTTAATTCTTCTCTCCTTCTGGGTGTATTCCTAGGTTCTTTAGGAATTGTGATGTGTTCACTAGGATAAAATCACCAATACCCACAGCAGAACAGGGCCCAGATTGTCAGGACTGCTTTAATTAATCATCTCAGCTATAACTGGGTAATGGGAGCTTGGTCATCTAACACCCAACACTCACATGGTAGAGGAAATGGTGTGAGATTTCATTTACACAGTGTAATTTTATCATTTTAATGCATACACAGATCTGCAAGGTCATATTATTTATTTTTTAAAATAACACCCTGATTCACCTTTAAACAGTGGTTGTTTTTACTTTTCCTGAAAAACTTCCAAGACATTAGCAAACTCAGTTTACATAGGTGACATTTTTCTCATGTGCATGTACATGTGGACTAGGAATGCACTCTTTATTCTGACAATCATTAAGCATCAGGACAATACTAGAGAGATACACGAGACAACAACACAAATGAGTTTTGGCTTAAAGGCTTGTCTACAAAGGAAAATACACCAATGTAACTATACAGTCAGAGCTATATCACCACACAATTTCTTGTAAACAGACTTTACAGTGCAATAAGAGCACCTTTTCCTAGTTAAACTTACATCCTTCTGAAAAGGGTTTCATCTAAGCCAGAAACAGATGCTCTAGCTCCAAAATGTAAGCCAGCTTTAGAGCACTTTATTGCAGTGCAAAAAAACTCTGTACCATAAGAAACATACTTGTTTCACTTTATCTTCAAAATCTGCATCGTTCTTATCGTAGATCATCTGAGCGAGGCGAATCTGTTCTGCTGTTGCCTGAAAAAAGATAACATCCAATAAAGTACACAAAAGGTAACTATATTTTTCAAGAGTATATGCTAGTGTCCTTGTCTTTTTCCTCAAGGCTTTCGAAAAGAACATACACAACAAGCACAGAAATGCTGTGGGGAAAGAAATAACATCTTCTCTATGCCCACTTGGTAGTTTTAAATGTTATTTGGGACAGAAGTAACTTCAACATTCTAATCTGTTTGAAACAGTTAAAGGTCACCACATTGACAAGATAACCATATAATAATACAGAATTTTCCACAGAAGACTATGTTTTAGTATTAATCTTATGATTTTATTTAGGATCTACCACTCCAGAGTAAAGAGTTTTATTGTAACAAACTGGCAATGGTATTTCTAGATCAACCACATCTCTGATGATCCCTGCTCACATCGCCTTCCACCACGCTTTCAATAACAGCCCCACTCTAGTTTTATGAGCACTTAGAGACTGAGTCATGCCTCAAGACTCTGCCCATGAACAGCTGCACTCATTTTTTTTATGAGCGAACACTGGTCTCTGAAAACTGCTAGAGGAACTCGCTATTGATGAAGTATCTGGTTCTTCTCTAATGTTTCTGGACCACAAATCCATACTGGCAACTTCTCCAAGAGCTGAAAGACTAAAATGTATTGATGCAGACAAGTGCCATAAATCCAAACAGACTATGGCTGGGCCTGAGAGAAAGCAACTCTAAGACAGATGTCACATCACATGGGCCACTCTTCACAGAGTGGCATCTGCAGCCACTTGAACTGCAATCCTGAGAAAATACCAAAGATAAGTGTGTCTTACAAGATCGTGGGCCTCACTTGATTTCTGTTCAAACAGAAGAGGCTGCTGTCTCACGTAGAGAAGGCTGAAACTGAAGAGAGTCGGGACCCAAAATACAAGTTGATGCACTGTGGATGTGCTTCCTCATTGAAAGGAGGACCAGCTCATCCTCTGAAATTCTTGACTGAAAGGATTCACCATGGGCAGCTGGCTGAATCCCACCTTTTGCCCACTTCACAGGATACACACATGAAATTCTGTGCCTCATGAGTTCAGAACTAATCAGGCACAAACTGGCTTTTAGAGTTGACCACGAATGCAAGCTCTAGAGGAGGTCAAGTATAAATGCTGAGAAGAGTCTAAAAATTACTCCAATGTATACCACCAGCTGCTTATTTGCTGAAAAGTTACTGCAGCTGTCCCAGTTCCTTGAGGGAAGGGACACTTGCTGTGCTCAGAGAGAATGTTCCAAGAGAATTAGTGTTTGTAACAGTTACATACTCTGCCTTACTTCACACTGTCGAAGTGTCACGCTGACAGCCTCCTATGTTACTCCTCTGGGTAGCACAGGGGAGAGCTGCTCTGGAACTCCCCAGTGCCACCCTCCTCAGAAGGCTCCCTGTCAGTGCAGTGCTCTGTGCAAAGGAGCTCGCTCCTGGCATCTGCTGAGACCTCAGCAGAAACAAAACGTCTGCTGGTTTCGGGAATTTAAGTCTTGCTGATCCTTGTTCTCATTCTGACTACAGCCTCCTCAGCCAAACTGCAACGTTTAAGCTAGTGAAGATATCTTCCTTGAAGATATCCAGAGCAAAAACTGTCAGACAATGTAATTTCTGCAGAGACGTGATGGTATATTGGACCAAAAAACAGGAAGCCATCAAGATTCATTTCTTCCGTAAATCAACTTTTTTCCCAAGTGCACAATGACAGACAAAAACACACCAATTTTATTACAAATATGTGACACTATCTTCAGTTTTCCTGTGTAAGCAGAGAGCTTAGAAACAAGCAGGTTCAATATGGCTTATATTTATGCCAGTGGATTAGACCCAGATGGAACTGAAGATTCAAAAGGAAAAAAAGCAACAATAAAAACTCACGAGATGCTTTTACTACACAAACACCAAACCAGCGTCACAAAAAGTTCCAGCTTTTCCCTGGCAAGCAGTGGTTCTTTATCTTTAAGGCACTATTGTTACAAGTAACACTGTAGTATCCTGTAAGAGTGTAATTAAGTTTTCATTGTGACTAAGAAAGTAGTACCATCTTAAAGATAGCTAAGACTTTACTCAACCTGACAACATATATTATCTTTTCAGTGTAACAGAATGAGGAAAATCTTAAACTAAAATTTTCAAATTACCAGAAAACAGAAGTGGGCAAAAAATAAAATTACATGACAGTAATAGGCCAGATCTTACAATAAAATTTATTATCCAGAAGCAATGCAAAATAACCATGATATAATTTCTTAAATAAATTATGATCAATGTGGTATCATGACAATGAAATCTCCATTTGGGAAAGCAATATTATTCAATATTCAGAAAAATTAATCAGTGGTGATTAAACAGTAAAATCCACAAATTCCTGGTGGTCTGTAAAGACTGACTAAGCAGAAAAGTCCATCTGATACCTAAACAATAAAAAATATGGTGCATTAAAATGTAACTGCTGTGTATTAAATAACCACCTTTTCCACTGAAATGACCAAATCAGTACCTATTATGCAAGAAGTAGAATAAACAGAAAAAATTCAGAAAAAGGTCTGAAAGACTTAATGCTTAAAATCAATGAATCCCATAGGTTGGAAGGGTCCTCCAGTGATACTCTGCAATGTCCCACTGAGAGTATATTCCATTAGAGAAGCTGCTTGGGGCCAGGCAGAGATCCCACAACATCTCTAATCCACAACTGTGTTTACAGTAAACAATTTTTTTCCTTTTAACACTTGGAATTTTCAGTGTTTCAGCTCGTGCCATTGTCTCTCTGAGGAGAGCTGGCTTCTACCTCTTCTATAAGCTTTCATGAGGTACCTGAAAAGAAGACACAACCTTGCCTTGCCTTCTTAGGGCTGAACAAACCATTCCCCCAGGCACCGCTCATTCATCCTGTGCTTCAGCCTCACAACCATCTTTCCAGCTTTTCACTGGCCTTGCTCCCATCTGCCAAGGTCTGCCTTGCACCAGGGAACCCAGAACTGGGCAGAGTACTCCAACTGTGAAATGGCAAAAAGGGGAAACCACCACTTCCACCAGCCTGTTTGCTATACTCCTTACTTGTTTTAAAACAAAAACGAATTCAACTTCATATGTTGGAAGTCACTTTCAAAATCCACGGCAGCATGAATCACCACTACGCAAAATGCTGCAACATAAGGAGATAAGGGTTTGCGGTGACAAAACAAAAAAAAAAGAGTGTGCAAAACAGAACAAGAGCCCCTTGGTTAAAGACCATCCAGAAAACAATAAAAGATAATATTTCCTTGAGGAGCACCTCTAGAATGAGGTGTACACTCTGCCAGCAGAGAACAGACAATTTTTGAATTGAATCAAACGTTGAGATGCATCTGACAAGAGAATAATGAGTTGCAAGGAGCAGAGTCATTTTGCACTCTCCGTAACCCACACAAGCATGCAACTACTCTGCTGCTGAGAATTGAGACAGTGGGGTGAGAGCTTAATTCCCATCTAACAGATATTCTATTTTAGTCTGCTAGTGGATGACCATTTCACTTTGTGGGGTCACTGCACAAGACGTTTAGGATTTTGTGGCTTGCAGATACACTGAATCACACTGTAGAACACAGCATGAATCTAATGAAGCTTTCCCCACCCACCCAAACTCCCCTACTGACCACAAATCTTTTAGCATCAGGAGCCTGGCAGATGGGAGAGCTGAAATCCAAGGATAGTTAGGTCACAGGACAGAAATCCTGATACAGGCATAGAGTTCCTCACTGATGGGAAGCGTTTCTGAAGAATACAAAGCTCCTTCAGACACAACATAGGAACAACTTAATTCTCTCCTGCATTAGTGAGTAATCCAAGCAAGTAATCAAACATACTCTTCCAAAATAGCCCGTGATTTTTCCTCTTATCTTTTCTCAGGTTTTACTGACTCAGGGAAGAAATGTGCATCACTACATGCTCACTTTCAAGTCAAAGAAGTTGATATGGTAGCACTTACCTGTACTACTTGTTTCTGTGGTTGTGTTGGCTGTGTGGTTGAAATTTGCGCTTTGTCCCGAGTGCCCCGGGTACGTTCACTTCCCACCGAAGTCATCATTTACAGTATATACAAAACAATGTATGTACAAAATAGAAAATCTGAAAGAAAAAAAAAGAGCATGAGTTAAGGCAAGTACTGATTTTGATACCCAGGTAATACACAAATGCAACCATTTGAACTCTTCCTGCATTTACCACTAACTCTATACAGAGATGCATGAGAAAGCGCTTTAATACACTATTATTGGATTTATCACAGTCTTTACAGTAAATGGGGAAATGCAGTGGATAGAAGCATTTTTGTCAGTGGATTGGGATCTGTCTAGATCTGTACTCCAGACAACATCTAAATCTCACAGCTTTTCCCAGTTATTTAACGTACAGACTTTTCTATCTGCTACTCTGCTGAAATCTCAGCTTCAGCTCCATCACTCCTTAAACTTCTTTAATACCTGCTGTCTTATTTTGATGCCTGGACTTTAACCAGTCAGAAGTCTACACAAAAATCACAATCACAAACTGAGCAGTTCCTCTCTTCTGTACCATCAAACTGCTTTTCCTGCACATACACAGAGGTCACAGCCAATCCCAACTCTACTTCTCACCTCTCATTTTTAAGAGCAATTATGATGCTTACCTTTAAATCCAGCCTGTGCAGACAGTATTTTTGCTTTTTCTCCCTCCTATTTACAGAAACAATCTATAAAACTATTACCCTGCTTTAAACATGCCTTGGTTGTATGGCAACAAAGAAACCCAAAAGAAAACCCAAATCCCACACACATATCACTGCTATCCCATTTGTGACTCCTGGCTTGCATTCTCATTCATCCTTTAGCACTAAAATTACGTCGTTAAAATTTGTACAGCACCTAACAGGACTAATCGATGAGCATGGCTTACAGCAGCTATGATAACTGGAAACAGATCTCTCACCTGGTAACAATGGTCATAGTCAACGGCCTGTTTTCTGTCCCTATAACACTGGAAAGTAAAAAGGCAAATTTCTGGAACTAAGGATAACTTGGTGCAAGTGGTGTACCTGGGCAGCATGAGATGTGCAAACAAGCAGCAAAGTGCTCTCACTGCAGCCCCAATGTATAAGCAAGCTTCAGCACACAACCTGCCAGGGCAGCAGCTTTGTGCAAGCTGGCCAGCATCCAGCTCAGTGCACAATAATCCTCACAAGGATGTGTTCAATACCCAACTGCTCAATGGCAGTCACAAGTAATGGGTACTCAACAATCAAAGCTGCAATGAGATGCTTCAGTTTAAGCATCGATTCATGATGCTCAGGAGCCTCATCTACCATCAAAAGGTCAATTAACCCCATTATCATCTAAATCTATTCTTCACTTCAGAAGTACATTCTTGTTGGTCAAAACTGAAACCTGACATAGAATTTCTTTATGTACAATTTAAAGCATTCAATAATGCTTTAATGCCTGAGAATAAAGTATATTTCCACATGAAAAGGCCCACCTTTACCAGGAACTGAGTGCAGTATGGGCTGAACTGGAACACGGTGTTTCTACAGCTTTATGAATATATTCACCAAAGCCAATATGTCTCACCATCCCGTAAGTCAGTCTGACTTTGTTGCCTTCTAAGCCCAGAACACACAGGCCTTCAGAGCACTGTCTGACCCTAAAGGCCAGATACAGCCAAAACAGAATTTACACAAGCTCCTGACACCACCTCAATGGAAAGCAAAATACTAAGTAGATGTGGAGATATTTTGACCAGAAAGTTCAACACTTATCACTGACTATCTGCTTGAGTTAGTTTTTTGTTTGGTTGGGTTTTTTTGTTTGGTTGTTTGTTTTTTTTTCCCAAGGATCAGTCTGTTCAAAACAATCTGAACCTAACACAATGAGCAATGAAAAAAAAAACCAAACAGAGCACACAACAGAGAGCACTAACTTGCTTTAAAGACAAGCTAATAGTTTCAATAGGATTTTCTGGAATCAGCCCACTGTGACTCGAGATTTGTTGATAAATTATAACTCCATTGGGTCTCAATTTGTTCATAATTTCTGAATTAACATCATATTTATACAGATTGTGGTACCTAGGAATGCTATTTTCCCCCAATTTCACCAAAGCTACTCGAAATATTGTGATCTATATTTTAGACAGGACAGCAGGACACATACATTAAAGAGTTTTCTGGGTGTTTGTAAAGCACATGCTGAACTCCAGCCTACAGCCAGGCAACTTACAGTACCCAAAGTGGATTGTGTCTCTTTTCCTTTTCCTATCTTGTATTTTTCTGTGTGTCTCCGTGCCACCACTGCTTAAGACATGCTTGTTCTTCAGGATGAAAGGATACTTTAAGAAAAAAGGCAGGCGCACAAACATTTGAAACACTCCTGGGAGACAAAGAGGCACAGCAAGATCAGGCTTCATGGGAACAGCACTCAAACAACCTGAATAGCATAACAGGGAATTTAAAGGAGGTCCTTGTCCTCCTGACTGTGCAGCCCACGAGCAGCACAATTTTGGTTCAAACCAAAAAACAGCAAAGGTACAGGCAGCAGGACTTGTACTTGCTTCAGACCAGTATGGAAACCCACACTCAGTATGACAGTCCCCATCAAACCAACAAGGATGTGTTATAATCCACCAGACACAATCCAGTCTCCTTAAAAGCACAACTGGCAGCCTGCTACAAAGAGAGCTTCCAAAATACTGTTATTTTATTTCAGACACTGAGCAGTGCTGAGGCTTCACACCTGACCACACCTACTGCCGACTAAGGAAGGGACAGGCAGAAGGGAAGCAGGGAGGCACTGCCTTCAGAGCACCACAGTGACTACAGTTTTGAGCATTAAGTGGGATATTATTGATTAATAAGATGGGGCTGAACATTTCCTTTCTCACAAAGCAGCTGCTTATTCTCTCCAGCCCCTCACCTTCACCAAGTCTGTTTGGCAGGCTGTTGTCATAGCAATGAGCAGGATATCACAAACTGATGAACTTGATTTTAACCATAGATCAAATGGGGAAAGAAGATTTGAGACTGAGATGAAGAAAACTCTTAATTAAAATCTGTTTAATAAAGATTAAAAAGAAAAAATACTCAAGAGAAGCAGATGCTTCAGTTTCCATGTCAGGGTCTGGTGCACCGCAAAAGTCCCTCATCAACAGTTAATACCCGACCTTGCAGACACATTCCAACTGTAGCAAACAGCCAAACAACTGCACTTTGAAGAAAAATACACACGTTAAATGAAAGCAGTAATAGTTTCATCACTTTCTGTATACTAGTACAGAGCTCTAGTAAAACAGGAAAAAGCACTAAACAAAGACAGAGGGCTTCCCAAAACTGTTGTGTAAAGAAGGTAGCTGAACTTTCTTGCATGTCAATTAAAAAAGGACAAGATTCCTGTAAACTTTTTTTTTTTTTACTGCTGTAGTGTAGGACCTCCAGACCAAGGTTGTCCTTACTAATTTAAAAAGAAACAAAAAACAAACCCCAAACAAAACTAAAATTTAAGAATGCCTTGTAGTTAAGTAGTTAAGAAAATTGCTCACTTCAGTGTGTTTAACTTCTCAAGCTCTAAGGAATTCTAATTCCAGTACTTCTTGATAAAGTAAATAATTTCACAGAGCCCTTTAAGAGGAAAATCATCCCAAATTTCAATCTTTCAGTTTAGTTTTCTGTCTTTACAGCAAATTTTAGTACAAAGGCCTATACTACAACTGCAGATACAGTACTGCGTAACATGGAATGGCAACAATTACTCCAGTTTACAAGAGCAATAACAAAGTATTGACATCTCAACACCCAACCTTCCTAAAACTACCAAATCCTACTCTCTCCCAGTCTCCATACCTTGTCTTATCCCACACATTTAGTTGGGTTTCTGTTTTGGATTTTAGAAGGAAAAGAGGAAGGCAAAGAATCAAAGAGCAACTGAATGCACATCAACACAAAAATCAGGTTTTTAAATCTATCAGAATGTTTTCTGTGATCTTTTGTTCAACCTTCCTTCAAGCAAGAACTTGTCTTTTTAGACCCAATGAAGTCAGAAAAGCTACAAATACAGAGAATACTAATTGACTTGACAGGGTTGCAAGCCCCTCAAGACTCAGGAAATCTATTCCTGAACTTCCAGGAACAGACCAGGCATGGCAATACCACCTGATTTTTAAGATTCCTCTAGAAGTTAAATTATTCATTTCCATCAGCTGAACAAAACATTTGCAGTTTCAGTTCCTTTCCTGAGGCAGTCTAAAGAATGTTACTTTCTTGACTCTCTGGACAGGGAGCTGTGGTAAACAACACGTGCAGAAATCTCTGTCAACACCTTAAAAGTGAGATTGCTTTTTTATATTCGAAACATAAAGCTACCAGTCAAAGATTTCTTACAATGACAGGGCTGGGGAAAGGCTGCAGGACACTGCCTGGTGAGAACACAACTACTGCACGTGAACTGTGAGCTCAGATTTTACTGCTATGGCTGGAGCATTATAGGAGCATGAGGGGAAAAAATTATGCCCCTGCAAAGCACCAGTGCAATGCACTTCCCTCAAGTGCTGTTGTCCAAAGCATCTCCCCATCTTTATTGCTGTTTGAAATGGGAAGAGTGTGCAAGAGTCAGATGTTCCTCAGGAGCAGAGCTGAGGACTCAGTGTGTGTACTGTCCCAAGCAACTACACCAAACCTGAGCTCATGGAGCCTGGGAGTATTCACATGTCATCTTAAGCTTTTTTGTGGTAAATAGGAAAAAAACTGACCTTCATCACTGGCAGAACATCGCAGGACAGAGAAACTGTACTATCTGTATGCTCTCATGTTCTACCAAGGAAAGAGTACTGCTGGGAGTGGCCAGAGTACCACCACAAACACATAAATTAATACATAAACTTCCAGTTGTGTTAGAAAACTGTAGCAAATAACCAAGTGAATATTCTTACCCATCTTTCTTAAAGCCCTCTGAGTTGTTAATTGAAATAATTATCGTGCCAAGACAATCTTTAATTAGCTAAGAACACAACCTGATCTGCAGAAATCAACAATTCCTCTTTAACACCAGAAAAAAAAAAGAAATAAAAAAGATTATTTTAAGGATTAATCTAAGCATATGCTACAC